ACGAAAATCGTCTCGTGTCAAAAAAGCCTAGTTACAGTGTCCTGTGAGTCACCATGGAAGTTCCCTTGTTCCTTATTCTAAAGATGACGCTACAAAGCCTTAAAGGACCTGCTGGGTTTAGTCCGCACACTCGGGATCCCCAGAACGCACCTCGCCCTCACAGCCTCGGCCCTGATTCTAGATGTTCTGCACATCGTCCTTCACAGCAGACAGAAGACAACTCACGAAGAGGAGGATCTCGGCGCTATTTATGGAGGCCTTTGGTCTAGTTACCGGGGGCTGTGAGAACGCCGGGAAGGCACTGAACTGGTGCTCTACGGTGTTCTGTATCAGACTACGCCGACGGCTGCAAGGACCCCCGTCCGGTGTTGGATCCAGGGACATGTAAGAGACACCACGAATGGGGTCCTGGCACCCCCTGTTGGTCCACAGGCAGCAGCGAAGCGCCTAGGGAGGAAGCAACACTTTTTCCAATGACGAGAGGCGTCCCTGCCTCATTGGGGGGAAGGTGGCGGGAAAAATAAGCCCTGTCCCGATTATCAGGTGTTTCCCATGCTGGCATCTGATGCCAGAACTGGGGCATCTGTGTCCGCAGAAGGTATCAGGCCCTCTAGCCAAAGAGTCGAGGCCTCGGACCCTGTCCTGGTGCCCAGCACGGCGGTGAGGCCGCTACCCACACACCTTCGCGACGCAGGAAGCTGCAGAGAAAGGCTTCACTATGCATAAAGCCTGTGGCTCCTTCTCACAGTGTTTGGGAAAGAAAGTGAATCAAAGTTTTTCTAGTTCAATAACTTCAAAGGAAGACAGTAAAAGATGAGCCTGTGCCTAACGTCAGGCAAAGGCAACGTAGAAAACATGAGCAGTTTCACGTCCGGGGTGTGTTTTCTGCGGTTTTAAAGGCTGCTGCTCCATCTTTGCCCCTCCGGGACACTCACGCTGGTCCTCATTCTGACAAGGCCTTGCTGGCTCCCCGAGGTGGGCGGGGGCCTCACCCCTGATCGCAGCCTTGGCCCCACACCAGCCCTGGCTGCCACTCCTGCCTCTCCCAGCTCCTCCAGGACGGGGCTGTGGGCCGTCACAAAGAGGACCAGCGAATGCTTGGGCGACCCGCTGGTCTTTGGGGTGTAACACCAAAACCACCGGCAGGTAAATGACTAACCCTCTCCAGAGGGCACAGAAGAGGAACCGCTGGTGCCCGGCTGACGCGGACTCTATGTGATTAGCCGTCCCCCTTGGGTGGGGAAAAAGCTTTTATTTGACCATTTACCTGTCATCCTTTCATGACTAAGCTCAGGTCCTTCATGAGGCGCTATTTCTTTTCTGGAAATGGAATGCATACCAATACTCAAATGCGTGAAGCCTAAATTTGATTTTCTCCCTCTTCTACCATCACTAACCCCCACCCTGTCCCACGATATTGACGAATCTCTGAACAAAGCATCACTTGCTGTAACTGATTTTTCACCCAGGAGGACGTCACGATTCATCTCCTCACTTTCTGTAGGAAAAGAGAGGCAGCAATCGCGAGATCTGACCGAAGGAGCAAACGTTTGAGGGACGAATTTAGGTACGGAAATGCACATAAGATGGGAGAGTCCCGGTCAGCGCGTGTAATTCTCGACTGCGGGGCGGAAGCAAAGCCCTCCTTTCTGAGGCTCCCTGGTTACTTGCTCAACACGGCCGAAAGCAGAAAACGGGGTCCGCACCCTAGTGGGAGCTCCTGGCAGCTGCAGGGCCGTGTGGCTCGTGAATCCGAGAATCCAATGCCAGCCTTGTCACTGCCAGCTGCAGGTGCAAAGCGTCTCTGGAGGAAGGGGCCATCACCCAGAGCTTCGGATCACCGTGCGACCACAGACAGGCAGCACGGCCCCGCCCACCTCTCTCACACCTTAGGCTCCAGCAACATCGCAATGCTGGGTGCCGCCTGTCTCGCCACCTGTGGGTCCCTGACCTGGGACGGGTGGCGCTTCACCCTCGTCTGCCCTTCCTTTCTCAGACTCAGCTAAGCGCCGCCGCCCCCTGGAGGCCTTCCCTCACTGTCCTGGCTGTCCTCAGACGCCAGCTTAAATTAGGCATGTCTATTTGTTTCCAAAGCATCCTCTCTCAGCCCTCGTCACCTGCAGGCCCCTGCTCAGGGGTCTGGGGGCTACTCAGGGGCAAGAGCCACACCTGATCGATCTTTGCTTCCCCAGCATCCAGCCTGACTTCTGGCACGAAGCGGTTACTGGTCTGTGCATTGACGTGACGTAAGCTATGATTCGGCTCACACTTCTTTCTG